TTGGTGTAAAAGCCATAATTCAATGAAAATAAGTTGTGGAGCACTGCAGAAGGTTTCATTTTGAAGAGAAATCTTTGCTCTATCTTACAGAATGATGGAAAAAGTGTTTGCATAGGGTTTTTATTAATTAGGGTTTTCGAAGATCCTGAATTTCTGAGAAACCTTTTTTCTAAGCAAGTTAAAATTAAATTTTTTGAATAATACATATATATACACATCGAAGTCAGCGCTGTACGAACCTATCCTCAGATTTATTGTATCTACTCGGGCTCACGAGAAAGAATAAAAACAAGTTTGTTTCTAAACTTTTTTTCGCTTCTTTATGTCTTATTCAAGAAAGATAAAACTAAAGTTTTGAGTCCGAAATATCGAGTTTTCCATGCACTGTGGGAAAATGCCTGTAACTTGTTAACAGAAGGTCATGCAGAGTTGTGCCATGTCTCATTACGCCCAGAGACGTTTGCTCAACAGATCTACACATTTAGAAAATAGTTTAAATGCATAAAAATCATGAAAAAAACTGGATTTTGAATTTTTTTTTTCTGCAATTTCCAGAAAATTTCCTCTAAAATCACGAAAATTTATTTCAGAAGAAGAAAGAGACACAGATTCTGAAAGTAAACACTTTGACTTAGTGAGATTAAATAACGATCTAAGAAGACAGACAGTCACACATTTTTTATTTTAGTTTTCAAAAGAAGATGCTGAAACCATAAAAAAAATTAACTAAAAACAGTAAATTCTCTTAAAAATTAATTAAATCTCAATTCATTATAATAATGTAATAGACTAACATTACTTGTTCGATACATTGTTGTTGTTCTCACAACGGTATTTCTCTCTGCACGTTCAAAGTTTGCTTTAACAACTTCATAATAGGCACCATCCGATAAAACTAATGATTGTAAATAAGTACAACGAGTTCTAGAATAAAATAATAAAAATGAAATAGATAAAAAATGATTTAAATATACATATAAACTATACCGAAGATGATCAATAAATTTACTACTATAATCACTATATCGAACCGTATCCGGATCCCATTGAATTTCTAAACGTTCTAATTTTGAACAATATTGTGCACAAGCATCCAAAATTTGATCAACATGTACTTTAGTTGTAATTTTTTTAAACATACCATACGGTGAACCCATGATCATAATTCTAAAATATAAACAAAGAAAATAATATATATATATATATAATGAGAAGAAAATGAATTTTAATTTATTCACTACTTGATATTTTTTAATGATTTTATTATATTTCTCCAAAATTCTTCTGTTACATTAGCAGCACCAGCATAAGCAATGCCTTGAAGATGTCGACCATGTTTTGTTAAAAATGTAAAAACAATTTCATAATCAAGATTAACCGTATTACTCAAATCAATTGCACGACATGTAGATAATTTTCCATGATGAATTAATATTTCAAGTACCTTAAATAAATTTATTAGAGTAATTCAAATAAAATTTATCTATTTCAAAATAGAAAGAAAAAAAAAAAAGACAAAATTAAAACAAACTTTGTCTGTAAAACCATCACAATTGGGTACTGCTAAATAATTTAATTTAGGCATTCGAAAAAATATGTCTAATAGACATTCTTCAGTTAATTCTGTTGATGATATATCAAGCTCACTTAAATATGATGATTCCCATGCCACAGAACACATTGGACTATCTTCAATACCTACAAAAGAAGAAGAAGAAGAAGAAAAAAAACCATACAACACTCTGATTACGATTATGATTCATCTAATAAACATATGATAATGACCTGTATTTTGTAATAGTAAACATTTCAATTTTCGACATCGTTGAATTACATTCACAAATGATGTACCTTTAATTCGAGTACAAAAATTCAAAGCTAAACATTCAAGATGAATACAGCCAGATGCAATTGCTTCAATATGATAATCGTCAATGAAATAAATGCCATATAAATTAATCACCTTTAAATAGAATATTTTTCTATTTTTTAAAATAAAAATTGTATAAATATTGAAAGACTTACACGTAAATTAGGTGTATGTAATTTTATTTTACTAATATTAATAGTTTCATAAATTTCTTCTTCAGGATCTGTTGATTTTTCAATTGTTCCTAAATTTAATAGATAAAAGATAAAAATAACTTATAAATTCAAAATTTTTTCTTCATGTCTTACCAATAATATGTAATGTTTCTAATGATGATAAAAATGAATATATTTTTCTCATAAAACCTTCTAGAAAAATAACATCGGATAAACAAATACATAACATTTTTAAATTACATGGAAATATATTTAATTCATTAAAATCATGTAATTGCATAGCCGTAGAAAAATCTAATGTTAAACGATTTAAATTTGGACATTTATTTGCTAATTCATGTAAAATATCAATTGTTATTAATTCAATAGGTAAATCAATATATTGTAAAGCAAGAGAAAATCTTTTACTAATCATTGTTATAAATTTGTTCACATTTGATATATGAAGTCCATTATATTCTGGTCGAAGATAAACTCTTTTCCATAATCGACTATTTTGTGATAAAGAACGCCATTGACGACAAACAAGTGAACATCGTAGTAATTCTTGAAGAGTTAAATAAGAAAATATTGTTAAGAGATTTTTCTCAGGTAATAAACTAATATTATACTAAAATATAAAAGAGATAAAATTTTTTATGTTCAAAAAGAGAAGAAAATGTGTATACATTTATTATACTTACTTTTTTAATTTGATGATGTTGTGTAAAATGATCAGTACTTTCACCATCGTATGTTGTTAAATCACCATCATCATCATTATTATAATCGATTGGTTTATTATCCCATGCTCCTGATGCTAAAATACTTAATTTAGAGGCTGTACGAGGATGCATATTAAACGGCGACAACATTACAAATTTTTTTTTTGACAAAAACAATCTGTTTATGGTTGGTTTCAGTCAAGTTGCTAAATAATACAAAATGCATCTATTCTTTCATGTCATGATACATTATCGCGCTTTAACAGATATCGAGAGAAGGAAAAAAGAAATGATTAGTTTTCCACTTTTGTTTTTACATCTGAATAAATAGTGTATATACAAACGTTATCTATTATTAAACGTATGTGTAAGTGTATCGATGTCAAGATTATGTTGAAAGACTACAGATATACATACACACATAATCAATGGATTTCAATAATATCATTTGTGTCATCGATTCTATGATCTTAATAATACGAAATAAAGATTAAATGAATGTAAATACAAGGACTTTTGTGTATAATTAAATTTAAAAATTACCGAAAAATGTCGACATTAAGAAGAGAACTCTAGACTACCAATGGGGTTTTCTCGACAAGTGAAGAAAACAATTGTCGATTATTTAAAGCAAAATCGAGAGACTATTTAGTAAACTTAAAATAGTATTAGACTGATGAGCAGCTACTGAGTCTAGACTTTTTTCGGCAAATCTCTCATATTTGCTGTTTGTTACAAATAATACACCCAACGTTAATTTTCAATAATTTTGTGTACAACGACGATGAAAATCGTTTTTTTTTCATTCAATAAGAAATATGCGCTTGTAAATAGACTAGAGTTTTGAATTTTTTCTATTAGTGTACAGCAGGATTATTTTCCATTACTTTTACTGTTGCACGTTTCAACATTTTGTTCTTTTATCATGGCTGAATACAGCATTGAATTCTTCGTCTTCTTTCGAATGATGTATTGGAAAAAGTTGACAAAAAAAAAGAGCAAAATAGTTTTTCTTCATGATACAAAAAAAATATAGTAGAAAACATTGAACTATACATTTTTGATCAGCTGTACTAATAACGATATGTACAAAAAGAGTCAATTTTGATCCCGCAACAACATAAAATAATATCAGTTGTTTTGCTATTAGCATGAATTTATATTGGGATTTCTATTACTAAACTTACATTTGAGATTTTAAAAGCGAGAAAGGTGGTTGAAAGTTTTTGATGGATTTTCCATATTTACCAAAATTTTTTATCAAAATGATTATGAGAAATTTTTCCCAATACGACATCCCAATTAGAAATTTAATGGCTCATTCAGCCACGGTAAAAGAAGTTTCAAAATACTTAATTGTGTAGCACTAAAAATGAGTGAAAACCATGAAATTGATCTGTAGAAAAAGTTTTAGAATTGAAATTTCGTTCTTGCTCTAGCTCTTCTTGGGAAAAATGTGTTTTGATCACCAGATTTATTCATTGCGAAATGATCATCAAAAAATAAGACTTAATTAGCAGACAAAGAGCAAAAAGAATTTAAAGAAATATACAACAAGACATATGAACAGAACAGAAGTTTAATTTAATTTTTTTTAATTCCTTTGATCTTTGATCATAACGGTTTTGTTCGCTACAAGTTTATCTCCTGATATGGAGTTGCATGCTTACAAATTAGATTTGTATCTGGTTAATGGGCATTATTTGACGATTTTATGGTATGGCAGACATCATGTTGGTTAGTGTCACCGTTTACATCGTCTACGTGTCCAATTATCGTTGTGAACCCTTGGAAAAGAAAAAAGTACAGGTCATCCGAAAAAAGTTCGTGCAGCCTTGTTGCGAAAAAGGGTTTTTTTCTGTTCCGTTTATATTTCTTGTTGTATATTTTCTTTATATTCTTTTTTTTGTCTGTCTATTAATTAATTTGATGATAAAAATTATTGATACCCCTCCTTTCTTCTAGATAAAATATCGTCATCAACAACAACTAATTTATTCAAGTTTTAGTATGTATTAAGGACGCCCTCACACAAATCTTCTTTTCTACACTGTGCAAACGATTTAGCCGGAACTTACAGAGGTCAAAAGTTATGATGAGAGTAGTCTATGGTGAAAATTAGAGCTCAAAATGTAGCAAGGAATAAAATGAGACTGTTACCAAAATGCTTAAGGCTGTATATCCGCCTACATACAAAGTTCACCATGAGTTTAAACTACCCTGGGCGAAGAATCTTGAAATATGATCTTGTCATATTAGAAGACATCACAAGATCTTACAAAGTCATATGAAATTTTATAAGATTTCATAAGAAACTTGGCTCTAGAATTTTATAAGATTTCACAAGATGTTTCTTTGAAAAACATTCCGTAAAATGATCGCCCAACAAGTGACAAGATTGTGAAAGATTTCATAAGATCAGATAAGAATTCATCAGATCTTACAAGATTATGTCTCTGGTTCTGTCCTACAAATTCCCTCTAGGCCCTCTTTAAATAAAATATTTTTCCTTTTATAATATTTCGACCATAGGAAGGATTCTGATGTCCTTAGGTCTAACCACATTTCTTATAGCCATGTACTTTATTTGTGCTCAGCTGATGTGTAAAGTTGAAGGAAGCAAAATATTTTAAGCTTTGTCATAAGAACTATGTTATATATATACTATATACCGAAGCAAAATTTCTGTGGTAAGAAGGAATCATCACTTCTTGTAATATCTTGTAACAAGAAATTGTATGATCTTGTGATAAGAACTGAATATGAGCAAATCCTCTTATTGACACGATCTTATAAGATCTTACAAGGTCTTGCCAAATGATCTTGTAGCAAGATTGCATAAGAAATTATCAGATCTTATCAGATTTTGTAAGACTTTTTCACTTTGGTAGTCACCTGGGGTAATTGCCAGTGCCAACAATTATCTTAATCTTTTGCTGATACCTGAGTTATTTATAACCAGAGAAAAACAATTTTTATACAGATAGATAGAGCTGACTTTTGTCTGTCGATTGATGTAGAAATTACTGATGGATTTGAAACCATTTGTTATAACTAGTTATAGCTCTCAGTTTTTGAGACCAAACTGGTTAAGTGAAAAACGGTTATAACTCTCAACTCCTTTCAAAAAATAGTTTCTAACCCATCAATGTCATTAAGATTAATTAGCTCTAATCAATTTCGCTTGCTGTTAAATGACCGGAATAACCCCAAAGCACACGTATATAAAAAAGTGACTATGTTCTTCCATTTCGCTAAATTCTAATTAACTAATTAGAAATATTTGCGACTGAACTGTAATTACATAGGTAGATAGAGCTTGCCATTCTGCGTATAACGATGTCAGTTTTAACTGAAAAGATAAAAGTTTACGATTGAAAATAAAAGTTAATTTTGGATTAGGCAAATCGAATTTCGGCGGCAACCGTTCACTGACCGCAATTAATCTAAATGGGGTAATTTCGGTCGATGAACGATTCACTGTTCTCGTCCTTGAAAACATTTAAAGCCTATCACAAATCCACAACTTATGACAATCCTTGGGACCTTAGTCCCCTTTCCCTGCTGAAGTCCGCGAAAAAACGTGAAATTCCTGATGAGTCCGCGAAATAATGTGAAATTTTTCTAGGGGTCACTGCACGAGAGCTACAACGTACGTTGCATCCAAGGTGTGACCGATTTCGTTCAAACTTTTAGGGTATGAAGATCAAACACGTTTAGAAATAACCTGGAAGTTTCAGCTCAAACGGTTATTTCGTTCAAGACATATAAGCATTTTTCTAATAGGTATCGCTCGTTATAGAGAGGTGATTTTTGCTCTACATGCCAAAATAAACTTTACTTTTCCTCAGCCAGTATGAGAGATAAAGTCGAGATTCTTTTACCATATATACTACGAAATGAGATCTATCTGATGATTACGTCAAAAAAAATTTATCGCATAGCGACTGCTTGTGGTAAGCATTTTGCTGCAAAATCACTAAGAAAATTTAAAAGTGAGTTTTCTTCCAGTCAGTGGAATGAATCTTTTTAGAACTGGTTCCAGTTAAGCCACCCTCCGTTAGAAATATATAATGTTTTATGAAAAGTTCAAATTCAGTTAAACACATCACCGGATAGCCCATAGCATCTAGTATCAGGATCCAATGTTATTTGGTTCTCATCGAAGGCATATGGAGGTTTTTAAAAAAAGTTTCTAAAAACTTTGGAAAGCTGACTTGTTTTAAACATTCTACTCTTTCCGATAAAAAAACAAATTCAAAAATACTTTCAATAACATCAGAACATAGAGCAAAGATTTCTGATCAAAATGAGATACCTCTTAGTACTGACTAATGTTCTAATCAAGAATTATGAGAGTTTTGTTGGAAGCACTAAAACATGCATCACATACTGGTGCATAGTGGGGAATTCTCTCTAGGCACGTAGACATTAGGTTTTAAACAAGTTCACGAAACTCAAAACACCCATTTTATTGGCTTTCTAATGTGCTCTTTCCAATGGAACACTTTTCAGAGCTCGAAAATCCATCAAACCGATTTTTTCTAGAATCCCTGGGTTTCCAGAGACCAAAACCGTTTAAAAAATGCATATTTTCTGGAGGAAATAATTGTTCAGGGATTTTCGAGTATCTTGATTTCAAATCTAATAACAGAAAATGCTTTCAGAACGTTCCAGAAGGTTTTCCAGAGTGGTGAGTTTCTGCAAAACCCTTTTGTTCGGAAAATACAAGATAACTCCTTTTATGGGTTGTTTCTCATGCCGATTTCAATAAGACTGATTAAAAACCCATCACTATTCTGCTTAGGGCCCGCCACCACCCCTTGGCTCTTTTTTTTATTTTGTCCCTAAGCTGTGCTGCACATTCTAGAGCGTCAATTCGTTTCAGCGTTTTTTTACGAGTGTTGTTCACATAATTTTTCCCTATGTTTAACGTCATTGTGACCGGTAGTGCACGAAAAACGCTCTGAAACATTGGTTTTTTAGAGCGTTTTTAGAGCACCGCGATCAGCATCACGACGGCACCAAGATTTTCGAGCTAAAGTTTGGAAATACGTCATCTGACTAACCGTGACACTTAGAAAAAAACCTCCAACGGTAAAAAGGTAGCGCATTTGCTGAGCTATATGATCTGCTATTTGAATCTTGCAAAAGTACATTTTTGTTTTCTTGCCGAATGTCCACGTTGTTCTTCACGGTGTGGCGCCACCATATGTCGAAAACGATTTTCAACTTAAGACCAATCTGAGCTCTCCACAACGTTTCATTACTGAGAAATCTTGCAGCTACGAATAGCCTCATTTTGAAGAATCTCGACTTTATCTCTCATACTGGCTGAGGAAAAGTAAAGTTTATTTTGGCATGTAGAGCAAAAATCACCTCTCTATAACGAGCGATACCTATTAGAAAAATGCTTATATGTCTTGAACGAAATAACCGTTTGAGCTGAAACTTCCAGGTTATTTCTAAACGTGTTTGATCTTCATAGCCTAAAAGTTTTCCCCCTTTTTTTCTTTTTTTTTCCAGAGGGAGTGGGGCTAGAAATAGGTTTACGGGAATGTTACTCACCTGAATTTTTGTCGAATACTATTCTGAAGATGGGACAAAGAGCCCAGTATTGTTGTTATATTAGCTGTTGTAATAAAACTTCGTTGGGAATTTACAAGGTCAAACAAGATGTAAAAAAACGTAAAAATTATAGCTGTGAGTTTTTTGTAAAACCCACAGAAAACCGTCTAAAATCTTTGTTGAACACTTAAAAAAGTGGCCAATTTGTTCAAACTTTCAAGCTAAATCGAATAGTTTATTTTAAAATTTTATTGTGTGTTTAAGTGAAACAAAAAAAATGAACTTTAAAGTAAAATTTACAAAGAGATCTTCCTGAAATCTTCTAAAGTCCTATCGTAAGCCTTTTTCAAGCATCGCTGGCTCCTAGATTTTGTTCAGTTTTTTGAGCTCTATCAAATGGTGTGTTTTAAAATATTCCAGCATCTTTTTGAGCCTGTGTATTTCAACTTTGAAAAAGTTGAAATTTCAAAAATTAAAATTTGATTTAAAATTCGAATTTTGACTCTGAAAGTAGGTTCCTTTTTTTCAGAATGTAGCCCGTTCAGTTCTGAATCGAATGGTATTTTTGAGATATTTTTTAAGACAAGGGATTTCTCTACAAAATTATTTGATCAGGTGCCGTATGTCAAAAACTACTGTTTTCTGGCTCATGTTAAAAAATTTTCGAATGATGCAAAAACGAGCATTCTTCAAAACCCTTAAGAACCAAAACGATTTGTTTTTGATCCAGCCGTTAAGGAGATAGTCTAAACTAACTTTCTAATCTAATGCACTTACCGGTACGATGATATGGTAGTACGACAAAAAAAAGTGTACATATTTCGTGCACTTTTTTCGGTTAATGCTTAACACATTTATTAGGATGAAACGTCTAGATTTAATTTAAAATCAAATGAAGATTTATTTTCTGTTTTCATCTTTTTCAGTCTTGCTACGATTCGTGAAATAATATCATTCTGTACAATAGAGGTCACTGTTTTTTCGTTAGAAACGTTCCTTTTAAACTGTAGAATGGTGTATGTCTCCGGCAGGAAAAAAGTGACAGTAATTAAATTGTTGCCAAGTATGCTTACAGCTATAGAAATACAGTTAAGGTAATAAATTATAGAGATCAAGAAAGATTCAAGAGTGATTTCATCAGTGGATTTATTCTGTTTAAATCATCAACTTGCTCTTTGATGAATACTTTATAATTTTTTGTAACCATTTGTATTTTTAATATTTGTGTTATTAATTTTGAAAATTTTTCAATAGTTGCCACTTCGCCATACTGTTCTAACATATAATACCACAATAAAGTCATATATTTACACTGAGCAGCGTATACCTGCGCATAATTCGATAAAATTGATTCACTATTATCTAACGATAGACCTTTTGTAAATATGATAACAATAATAAGTAGATGTATTATACTTGGATCATTTTCTGTTGTGTCTTTTACACTTTGTACTAATTGCAAAAAATCATTACGAATTTCATCACCATGACATAATATAAATATTTCTTTACGTTGTTTTAGATTTTCAACGGTTTCATTACATACTCCATTATCATGATCATAAAATAACGATTTTGCTAAAATGAATACGTGGACTAAATTATATTTTACGAGTAGAAAACGATCATTTTCATCTAATGCTTCGAATTCTGGTATTGTTTTTAGATAATTAATGAGTCTTAACGCGGTGAAATTTTGTATATCCATCACGTATGTTAAAGCGTCCATTTTATCCTTAATTTGAAGTGGGAGCGATGGTATGGCAGTTGACTGATAAGCATTTATGAATGATTCTTCAATATATTTAAGTTGAAGATGATCTATATCGGTAAGTAACCCGCTATCTACTGCTGTTGTGGAATTCATAAGATTTTCAACCACCTATAGATAGATAAAACAACAAAGAATTCTACTAGATATTAAGTAAAGTATACATTACACACTCCAGTACTGTTATTATATTTTGGATCAGAATCGTCCTCCTCATTAACTGTAACGATATCCCCGTGACTGAATCGTCGATTATTTTCCTCCAGACGTTTTCTTCTTCGCGATTTTTCCTCTGGTGTTAGGATGAAATCTTTTCTCATACCTGAATGAAACAGAATTCAATAAAGAACTAGTAGCTAGAAAACAAATAAATAAAACATTACCCATATAAAAACATCGTTTTAATCGGCAACGCTTGCATTGCCGTCTGGCATTTGTTATCTTACAGTTTTCTGATCCAAAACATATGAGTTTATCCTGAAAAACGAAAGATGTTCTATAAGTCGGTTGAACTGAGAAAAAGGACATTTACAATCGGTTGTAATGCATTTCTATTGAAAAAAGCCTTGCATGAGCCACAAGTGATCGCATCATAATTATAACCTAATGCTTTGCCTCCACAGACAACACAAACAAGTTCTGATCTTTTAGATTTCGTTGTAGATGGCGTTACAGTTGGATTTCTGACTTCAGCTTTATTATTTGTTGATGGTGAACGAAGCATATGTCGATAAATATGATCGTCTATTTCATTCTAAGAAAACGAAAAACACATTATTAGCCATTTGCTTCTCATGTTGATATCGAATTTACGTACATGATCAGTTAATTCGGATAATAATGCTAATTCTCGAATATTTCCATTAAAATTTGTCTGATCGAGATCAAACATTTGTGTATCAGCTCCATTTGTATTTTGTTGAAAATGATTGATTAGTTGTTCATCACCAGTTATGATGATTATTTTTGTCTTTCGATTTTGGCTATCATTGTGTACTGGACTTCGTTTTCTAATATTCATTAATATTATTGTTAAGTGAAAACGAATATTTAAAGACTATTTATACCGTGTATAAGTATATAAAATGTTTGCCGGTGACCGTGCAATGGATATAATATTGTTTTTTATACGAATTATAACACGTTTTTCTTTCTTTCTTCTTTCTTTCTTTCTTTGTGCAAGTGAAGGTGAGCTGTTCGTAGGTAAAAATAAAATACGAATAACTTTATAAAAAACAGCAGCTTTTCTTTTCTTTGTTCTTGTTCTTTTCACGTCAAGAGACTTTTGTTCATGGTATACAAAATTTTCTTTTTTTTATTAAAGTAGTTTGAAAAAAAAGGCCAAAAAACACTTTGGTTTCTTTTCGCCTTTTGCAAATGTTAAGGATGAATTCATGAATAAAATAAATATTCATAAATCTTATATACCGATTTGATGTTTTCCAAACTAGAATCTTAAAAAAATGTTTTCTTCACAGAATAAAGACAGATATGCACTTATGTTTCTTTAAGAAAATTGATGCATGAAAAAAAAATTATCGTTTTAGTATCGTGTTAGGTTTAGAAAGAAAGAAATTAAATTCACGATTATTTTTTTAAGATGCAGAAGTTGGCATAGCCACCAGAAAGTTCTGTCATAGAGACAAACGTACATTTTTTAGATCAAAATAATTCTGAAAATGCATCTAAACCCGTTTTTTTTATCTCAAAGGTAGAGCGAGACTCATGGGTCCAAACTCATCCTTCCATAAACTGAACGAAAAACACATAATGACGCTCCTTGATTTTAAGAAACGTTCAAACGCGCTTAGACGCATCTGATGTCAACTTATCTTTGACACCGAAAATGTTTTGAGCGCTACTAGACATGTTTATTTTATGACTGTATTTGGGTTTATACACATTTTTTCATCTCAATCAGTAGAAAAACGTTAGCTAAGTTCACATGTTCGAATCTCTCTCTATTCGTACAAAAATTGATTTTGTGTTTTTCGATAGTTTTAGTTTAGAATACTATAATGGAATATTCTTCTGCTTGTATTCTGACAGAATAAAGCTTTTATAAAAAAAAAAAAGAAAAACGCTGAGACATTGAATTTCTGAAAAATCTACTTGAAGAAAAACAAGCCTTGAAAATAAGAAGAAAAATAAAAAAAAGATTCTATAAGAAAGAAATTGTTTCTAGGCGGGCCAGAATGATGAATTATATCAATTATAGAATTTTTCTAAAGTTTTTCCTACCAAATATAATCTTAAAATCTTCTGACATACTTTCTCTTCTCAGATTCCTAGAACACTGTGAAAGTTTATAACAAATACGACTATTCAAACTAAGTATGACTGATCAATACAAAAACGCAACCACATAGCTCGAATGAAAAGCGAGATACGCCCGGATATGCATGAAAAGAATGGTCAACATTTTTTCGAAAATAGCTGTGTAGACGTGCTAGACATTAGAAAATTGAAGACATCTTGATTATGCGCGACTAAGAGTGTCCAGAGTTCTTTTTGTCGTTTAATTCTTTTATCTATAGACATGTTTTTTTTAATATCAAGAAGAAAAATAGCAAAATTTTCCAAGCAGAACATCCTGTCTTTAATATCCTGTGATTTTTCCATTTTTTGACATCAACTTAGCTGTATGAATGAGTGGGTCTTTCACACATAATGTCTTTTACAGAAATTTAAATAATACTCTGTTCTGAATGTTTGGTAACGCATCATCCTTTATTATAAATAATCAACTTTTTAACATATCTAAAATATCAAACAGCATGGTGCTGACAATCTGAAATAAGAAAAATTTCTTGTCACAGTTCTTATTATGCTGCTCTTAGCTGACAATCTAAACGAATGTCATGAGAAACGTTGTGTAAAACTTACATTTATTATCTTTTATTATTCGAGCATCTAAAATCAAGGCTGTTTCTTTACTGTTATGATAACCACTCATTATTCGACCAATACTAAAACTAGAGCAACAGAGAAAAACAATAGATCGTTGTAAATAGCAACTGATTTTTTATTTACCAATATACTTCATGTAACTCTCTTATTTCTATCCATTGTAATGACCAACGATGTCCATATTTCTTCTCCTTATGCCACACATATATTTGTTTAATCTACATAAACACATTTCAATTAGATTCTAATTACACCTGTAAAATGTTTAACATACTTTTCCTATTTGTTTTGTATCACTTACATAAAAAATATAAACACCGCCCTTGACCATTTTATGATTCATTGATGACAACTTCATGACATTACTCGTACCTTCTTCCCCGATGACTTTTATAAACAGATGTGACACTATCTTGCCAAATATTTTTGCACGAATCAAATATTCGGTTTCTATCCAAGGAGATCATATTTTGCTCAAGTATCAAAGTAAAGAGCGTATAACAAATGAATACCTGGTAAATCGGTACCAGCGAATATATGAGTATTACATCTTGATTCTACAAAATATTAATATCTATTATCGTTACTGAAAATGATATTCTTTACTGTTCGCTTTAATATTCTGAGCGCTAAACTAGACTCCCTCAAAATGCTACTTTCGTCGAGAATTTTGAAGTTTGTTTTTCTTACGAATAGATATGCATGGTTTTTTTCCGCTACTCTATAGCCCTTGTCGTTCTCAAGTTACTCAAAAGATTCGTTCAAGAAATAGTGGTACATCTGAGATAAAAAGTATTACTGTCAATTAATTTGGACTCATGAGAAACGTGTTCCAATGATGAAGTCGATTGTTGGTAATCTTCAAACGCATTATTATTTGACGCTAAAATTATCATTACTAAGCATCACCATTTCACCAAAGTTGTTTGATGTTTTTCTTTCACTTACGATTTGTCAAACACGGTGGATATATAATTTTCTCTAATTTGGTATATATACGGGCGTCACTTGAGTTGCTAATAAGCGGTTCATTGAGTGTATAACTTTAAGAAGAATATAGTGAATAAAGAGAATTTTCTCATTTTTTTCTAACATACCAATAATTTCTTTGATATGTAATGTCTCGAATATTAAAAATAATAAACGTTATTGATATGTTCGTTTACGCAAAGATCGAACAAAAAACGCAAACAGTTTTGCGATTCATCAACTATTTGAAATCTAGGATAGAATTCGATCGGAAATCCCACGATATGGGAAACTATCGCACGGATGGTGAAAAGTGTAGAATAAAGAATTTTTTTAAGCACGGTTGTTTTCTGTTTTGAGCATGAGTGGTATTTTTCCCTGTCAAAAAAAATCGTTTACAGTTTGAGGCATAGCTTTTTTCCGATTTGCGGACACCTTTAAAAAAATAAGATATAATTGAATTTAAGATTGGTTTGGCACGATTTTTTTACGTGATATGCATGGACGATCAATCACCATTTGGACCATCCTCTGTGCAATGCTTCAAAAAAATGTCTCCATTGTTCAATCGATTTGTATGAAATTTTGGCAGATGAAAGATTATTTTTAAAAAGGTTACGATAACTGGAGCCAAGAATATTGAATTGTTGATGAGTTGTAGGTGTCGTAAGATGTAAAATGGGGCTATTTGTGAGGTACAGTTTACTCAGAATAGGTAGTAGCTAGGAGCCCGGATTTGTTTTAAATGAAATTAGACACCTAAACCTAAAAAATGACTGATATTTTTGTTGAATTTCGTCTCCGTTAGTTTTCGGTAGACATTTTAAGGTAAAAATTCAGAAAAATGCTTCTCGCTGCTTAGTAAAATGCATTTTTCTCAATAGGAAAGCGAAATTCAAAACATGATCTGTAACTTTGCGCATTCATGTTTTAGCTAGCAGACAAATAGAGTTCACCAAATTGCGATGAGCCACTCCTGAGAAAAATATATCTTACTGCCTGAGAAATACCTCTTTGAGAAAAATGTAATAAACGTTTGAAGTCCATAGAACTCTCTCCAATGGAAACGAAATAAATCATTGTGAAAGCTTCCCATAACCTAAGTTTTTCATCCAGTTCGACATCGATTTTCTACATTATTGGGAATTATTTATAGAAAATCCTCAGCGAATTTTCGTCTAGAAAATCTTCAGAGATTTTATATACGGACTTTTCGAAAATCAAAAAGTCAGATTATTTTCTACTTTCTAGAAAATGGCTGAAGATAAACTTTTTCACCGTGTTAAAAGCTATTGAACTTCGAAGTTGAGTGGCGTGTATTATTTCAGCTGATGAGAACATGGATCTCTCAACTCGACTTTGTCTTAACCAGGCCAACCATTTCCAGTACCTCTTTGTGATCTCCAAGTGTTATACAACAACAATACTTCTCGAAGAATATGCTGATTTGCAAAAACTGAAAGAACTTTCGGAATCTACTAACATTTCCGATGTTAAATACTAAAAGGAGTAGAGATCTATTGCAGGTCAACTTGTTGCAATGTAGGCTTTAATAGATGCGAAAGAAGCAAGAAAAAAATCACCGATTCCTCTTCTTAGAAAATCGAATTCGATTTTCCAACTTTTTAGAAATTCCTTATCGATTTTCTGCCAAATGAGAAAAGTCAATTTATAGAAAATCAACATTTTCTAAACAGTCAGAAAATCGCGGAGGATTTTATAAAAGTTGGAAAATCCTTGACGATTTTCCTTGACGATTTTCCAGATCGATTTTCTATAAAGTAGAATAATTCCAAATTACAGTGTAGATATTTTCGCTAGGATTAGTTCTTTATTAGAGCCAATCTAATATTCTGTGAATGAGGCGAAATGGCTGAGCCACAATCCTGTGTGCGTGGAACAGAACCGAACTGATCGTCGCCACATCCTGCGAGTCACTAACAAAGCGATCATCCACCGAGGATATTCACAATTCTTATAAAAACATCAATCTTTCATGCATTTCTCACTTCTATGCATTTTTATTTTGAGATCTTTACACAGTAAACATCGATTGCGAGAAAGAACATAGAAAAAGTCCTTAAATACAATGCATTTTTTGAGAAAGAAGATTTTGATCTACAGTGAAATTTCTATTCAGGAGTTTATATTCTACTTTATATTATACTGGAACTGCTGTATACCCAGATAGAGCTCTACGCCCATTGTACATCTATAATAAACCTCTAAAAATGGTACATGGTGCGCATCATATGCATTTTGTACAATAGATACGCATGACGTACGCGCACGTTGTTTACAGATGTGCGCGTGTGGTCCGACCTTAGATATGTTTTAAATTTCGTACGCGTGGGATAGACGTGTAAAGGAAATTTACCAAGGTCAGAATTTGTGCTATACACCTTTACAAGATTTGTCTTCATATCAAAAAAACGAAAACATGCTTCATATAAACGCATATATATACTCATCTAACATTTTTGAAAGTGAAAATAATGAATCAAAGAATAACATTAACTAATACCCAGCGGAGAAAAGCGCCCAATCTTGATATGAATAGGACATGTATTAGACTAATAATACAAGATTTCAATTCGCTGTATGTCGGCAGAGAAGAGATCAGTTATTAAGAATATTTTATTGCTAATACCCAGTATTAGGTCTCGTACTATTATCTATGTACCTTTCAGTATTTATAAGAAAAGAAGATAAGCGTATCATCAAATTACTAAAATATTATTGGAGTTTTGCAAGAAATATCTTTATTTTTGCTAGTCATAAGAAACCATTTAGAAATCAGTTATTTATGTTTTTGTTTTATCCGAATTGCGGTCGGATTTTATATAAATTGTGAACGCGACGCGATCCAAGCCGGGAACGCGATACAACCTAATTTAAATCTCGAACATGGCGCGATGTTTTGAAGCGCGAGAGCAACTTAATCTTAACCGAGAACACGACGAGACTCGAAGCGCGAACGCGGTGCGCTAGAATTTTCGCGGCGCATTAGCTAACTTTTCGTCGCATCAAAAGAGTATACAATGTAACCTTGAATTAATTTCCACTTTATAGAAAATCGCTGGGGATTTTCTAGTTTATAGAAATTCCTCGACGAATTTCCAGCTTTCTACGAAATGTTGATTTTCTAGTTTATAGAAAATCGACTTGAATTTCCATAAATTCCATATTCTATAAAGGTGGAGAATCGCTGAGGATTTTCTATAAACTGGAAAATCGCCGGCCATTTTCTAGTTTATACAAACTCAATCGAATTTCTATAGATAATTTCCAAGAATCTGGAAATTCGAATCAGAACAACAGTGTAGGCCATTCTTATACGAAACCTTGTAGAAGCATGAGATAGAACTTGTTAATTTTTAAAACTTGGCAAGCAAAAACAGTAAAGGAAACAAAAATCTGCTGAATTTTCTGCTAGTTCTACCTCATTTTAGAGCTTTCAGCGGTGCTAACAATTACAGATTCACCATCCTGAAGTGGTTTACTGTGAAGTCACGATTATGCCGCAATATAAGCAATTTGAACACGATCCAGTCGCGAAACAGGTATTGCGCGGCAAGATTACCATGGCTTCGCGACACGCAATGAAGCACGGATTCTACTAGGGTCACTATGACACTTAAACAACAATGAACCACGCTTCCATTACTGACCTCTTATTTCAATCCATGCGCAATTCCATTCGATATGAGTGGTTAATTTACTTGTTAATTTTATTTTAGCTTCGGTTATCTACACAAAAGAGTCATGATTTCTTTTCTACACGCACGAGACTTATCCGCTTACTTCACAATCACCCACGTTTGTATTGACAAGAACAAAAAAGTCGATGTTATCTTTGAGAAATGGTATTGGATGTGTTTCAGATGCATTCAATGCTTCATTATGAACTTTTCCATTAGCAAATTTAAGGTGAAGATGAACCGTACTGTTACCAGTTATATCAGAAATATCATTTGATTTGCTTGAAACAGTAAATAGAGTAGACTCTAAACAAAAATTGCCGTACACATATCGACGAAGGTAGACGACCTATTATTACCTTTTGTCAAATCGTACACAGGCAGATCAACGGTTTGTTCCAAATCTGGACCAAACCAATGATTTACAATAAAACTGCAAGTAGAAAAAATGTTTAGTTCTAGATTTTTATATAAAGTATACCACATTACTAACAAATATTTTTCTTCATTAGAACTGTTAATAGCTTCGACGCTTTCACAATACCATGGTTTTCCGTCAAGACTATCACACCATATGATTATTCGATCTAACTGAAAATCAATGTATATTTATATACTCATTTTTTAATATCAATAAAATATTGAAAATCTTACTTTTCCCACATCAATTGCTTGTAATGATGATATATAGAAAATATCTTTTTGTCCTGATCGAAACGGTTGTATTTTGTTGTTATTATTGACATCTATTAGATCATTCAAATCAAATGGTATGGTTGATGCACTATCACCTACTAATGCCACACGAATGTAAGCATTCCTACAACTACTAATTGAACCTGTTCGAATGATTATTGTATATTTTGGAGCTAAAGATATAGACAACCGTAAGTATCATCTCATTATGAAATAGTTTCTCAAACTTTCTACTTGAATATCACAGAATTCTTATAGTGCGATTTGTTTTTCAAATATCAAATTTTAATATCCCTTTTGAGGGGTTACGTACCTAGATTAACTGGTCCTTCTCTAACCATAACATCAATTGTTTGTCCATAATTTGTATCAAGCCAACGATGAACAGGAAAACTAAATGAAAACTATTCTTTTCCTAATGTTTTGTATCCCTATCTATCGTTTCTTTCACTTCAATATATCTTTCTTCTCATTTTCTTCAACTAATTCAATCCAATTTACTTTCCATCTTGCCTCACTGTTAATCTTTATTCGAGCTAATGTGATCTAAAACAGATGAAGAAATATTTAACAAAGAGATCAGTTACCTTTTGCCCACAGAATAATTTCTGTTTATTATACGCGCCATCCATAGTACATGAAGTGATCAAAATATTGAGCTTTGCTAACTTTTTTAATTACTTTTTAGCTAATTTAGAATCTTTTTTTGTTTCATGCAAATTTATTTCATGCTTTTTTTTTCATGCAAAAGTGGACGAGATGGTTAGGATAAATACGTATTCTCAATGAAAGTCAATCGCATTTACCGTTCCAACATCAAAAAGTTCAACAGATTTTTTATAAATATCATTATTTTGTTGATCTAACTCTTTTAATGGTATCGATATTGTTTGTGTTAAACCTCGATCACCCTTGAAAAATATCGATATTTCACTTTTTCCATTTTCATTCTGTGCACACTCGTTTGTTTTGTTAAATGTTTCGCAGCCAGTCTTCATACGCAATAAATACGGAATCATGTTCAAATAATTTAACTGTAATAGAAAAATGAGTAAGAGAGAGAAGTTTACTTGCCTTGGCGCGATATAAAAAGAATTGAAATGAGCATTCAAAATTTATTTATCTATGCATGAAGAGGCAGATTGAGTAATTAGAACAGGATTAAAATGCTTTTAAATGGTTCGCTCGTAAGCACGTGGATCGGCTTGAAACAAATGCTTCCACGTCAAATAGTACAAAAAATTACTTAAAAACTTGTAAGAAACACGGAAGGACCTTCATTGAGATAGAAATAGAATTCAAAACGGTCTCATTTCTTACATGCGCAGAATTAAATATTTGGCTAACACCACTGGTGGTAATTGGTACGTTCTTACAGTGGAATTTCTCCTAGTGATCAAGACTGTTTTCGCTCATACTTTGTTCATCGATAAGGTAGATGATTTTGTGAAAAAGCCGAAGAAGATTTGTACTGACGTGTCCTAGATCGAGAAGTATTAATTATTAAGAGCATATAGTAACCCACATAATTCCGAAAACATCTTTAGAAACCTTTTAATAATCAAAATAATTTCGTCTTTTGGTACTTTGAACTACATTGTATCATTAGTACTTTGAAAAAAGTCACAAATCAATAAAAGTTTTAACTCGGTATCAGAGAATGATTTTTCAACAGTTTTCAAATCGAAAGTGTTTACAAAAAAGATGGAGGATATATCCTTGAGCCCATTACTCTTTTATCGGACATTTTTATTATTCAATACTATAGAGCGCAGAGCATCGCGCCTATTTTTTCGTGTATTTTATATTAGTTAATATTAACAACGACAGTGATATACATTCATATTTGTAAAGAAGTGACGAAGATCATTTTCAATACAACCCTAGTACCTTGAGCGGGTCATCATCATCATTCGGCTGCCAACAATCGAGGTTTGCAGGCGACAACAATCTTGGACCAAATTCTCTGTTCGTGGCAGAATTTCTGATCTGGTCGACCGATCGGGGCATATCGTTGTTAATTAGCCTCGCAATGTAATCGCGATATATTAGATGGGAGCTACCTCGCTTGCGCTTGCCATGACTCGGTTCATGTTGAAATGAGCTGCGCTTGAGCTTTCGCGTGTACTTTCTAGGAGAGCTATGTCGTCGGCGAAGTCGAGGTCGTTTATTGCTGTTGTTTTGTGTCGGTTGGACTATCGCAGGTTGGTGACGAAGCCATGCTCGCCCTCTTCGTTCGCGTGGTCCACCTCAGCATTCTACATGACGTAGTCGATCACGATGATGAAGATGAAAGGTACCAGGGTGTCTTCCTGAAGGACACCGATCGTTACGTCAAATTGTTCGTGAGCGGGTATAGTTTCTCGAAAAACGTGTTTAGATGTTGCACATATCAGTAAAATAATCTCCATGCTTCGGAGACTTGATAGGAATAAGAACTCGTCCGAATAGTGTCTAAAAAATCTGCACCATTAAAAATAACTAGTTGAATTTGATCGAAAAGAGTTTCTACGTTTGATTTACTTCTGAATAACAAAAAATTGATCCATTGCAATGACGAAAACGATAATTTCATTTTGCTTCAATAGAAAATATTTCCTCTAACGTTCATATACTTTATAACAAATGTTTCAATATCACAGTAAGTATTTTAAATGTCTTTTTGACTTCATCTTTTCTTCACAAGCTATCTATGGATGTTCGGCGCACGTATTATATTGAAAGACAGCGTAGATTTAGAAGAACAAGTACGGGAAAATCACGACATTTTCGTTGGACAAAATGAAAATTATGAGATGACTTTTCTCACATGTGTGACGTACATTATCTACATCAAAGTGTCGGGCTCTTTCCATGATTTTTCTCCACTCGTAAGCATAAACTTACGTAAAGTATAACTTATTAAACTGTAGATAAAAAATAGTTTGGAGATATTAAAAACGATTTTCCCTTGCCTTGCATCCTTTCTAAATGTCATTGATATTTTTCTTCTTTGTTTTAGTGTGCACGTATTTCAACTGTACTGCTATCTTCATGAGATGCTATATTAGCAAAACCTTTAATGAGACACATTCAATGTAGTTTCCATTAAAAAAAAGGTAACAGTAGCTGTCATACCGACTGATAATTGTAATTAACCTACCATGTATAAATAAACAATTTCTACAACTCAAACGTCTACTATTAATGCTATTTGTTCAAACACAAAGCACAAAAAAAACACACTTGTCTTTACATAAATAATTATACATTAGATGAAACAAAGAATTCTATTAGAATTTTCGTTAAACGAAAAAACCAGAAAACGATAGTAATAAACTTTTGTTTATTGTTTGCACACCAAAGCAGTCAATATACACCTTTTATTTTGCACCAGCAGCTTGTTTTCTTAGCAACTGAAATATTTCTTGTTTAATCCATTCTTTATTATGTGGTTTATATGTGCCGGTTGCTTTTTGTAAACATAAGCATGACAAATCGGCTAATTGATCAATAAAATCAAATAATTCCGATATATCATATGTTATTGATGGTGACATTGGATTACGCTTTTTTAAATGTTCTTCAAATACTTTACATATGCCTAAAAAAAAATAATACTATCAAAGTAATTCTGTTATGAGCAAAACATATTAATAGATCAGTGTGAATTATTAAGAGATGTTACTTTATTTTTCAAACTGAAGTAAAAATAAATGATAATTCAATTGGACACTTACCGTCTAAACATTCATCAACCGTTTCATAATCACTATATGTACGTGAATCTAATTTAGTTGTCGATTGCAATAATAATATTGTATGAGTTTGCGACATTTTCTTTTAAACAATCAGACAATATCTGCAGAATAAGAATAAATATCAACAAATTGAACCGAGTACCGATTATCAGTGTAGAAATGCTAAGATTCATCATCAGTTCGTTAATTAAGGGTCTATAACATTCAGAAAAAATAATCAGCACTAAAAAAAACATGTGTCTCACATAAGCATAAAAGATTTTGGAGATAATACTCAACTAACGTTCAAAAAATTGACACATCTCTTACTGTTTCCTAAAATAGTTCAGACGTAAGATGAAGAGAAACCTATTTGAGCACAAAAAATAGCAACAACAAAGAATAGTAGATCCGTTTATCACAAAGGAAAAGCGAGAAAAAATACCAACATTTTAAAGAAGGAAAATGTTCCTTGTTCCTGAAACGAAGTACTTCCTGTGCATATATGAAACACATTATGCAAGTTGAAAGAGCATGAGAACAGCCAACACACAAAAGAAACAATCTTACTAAGCCTGTAAAAATAACAAGCTAAAACATCAAAATTATAGATTACTTCTTTACAATAACAAAAAAATTCACAAAAAAAATCGTATTTTTTATGAATAATCACAATATATGAAAATGAACTACAGAACAACAAATTTCTTCTTTAACCAACAAATTTTAAACATCGTGTATCTTTATGAATATCTAAACATTTCAGTGAACAATATAATTGTCCACATGTTTTACATGTATATTTTGAAAAGAAACCGCATACACTGCAAAGCTTCACAGGTGGATATCTGGATGGTTGAGCTTGAATAGAGAAATAATTTATTTTCGAATCATCGGTTGATAATTTTTGTTCTTCATCTAATAGAGTTTGCAAGTTTTTACGAAATCTAGTTTTAAATACATCATATTTTAATTGTAATTTGCGACGTTTTGGTCCACGTTGACTAGGAGTGGTCTGAAAATAGAAATAGAACATGCAAAACACTGTACCGTAGACATGCATCAATCTTTCGAACAGAAAACTACTTCTATGCGTCACTTTTCGTTACATTTTTAATGAATTAAGAACTACTTCTATCCTTAATATCTTTAGATAATAATTGCTACGAGATAAACCAACCTGAATAGTACACGTTATAAGGGGCTCAAACACTATTAGGCTAAATTCATTCAGGGCAGTTTCAATAGTAAAATATCTATTCTAATGCTTTTCTCCTTTTACACTTACCGTTGAATCTGCTGGTGTCAATGAATTGTTTTCATCTTCTAATACGAGTCCTTTCGACAGACGAGATGATGCTCCTTGCAATGTTGATGAATGTGGACTATGTGAATCGAGTTGAGCTAATGGATCCTCTTGAAAATTATCTTGTTCTAACGTTTCTAAAAGTTTTTGATGACGACGTAGACGTTGCGAATCATCAATGATATAAGAGCCACGTAATGTGGACTCTTTCTGACGAGTTAAACGTTGAGTAGAAGATGATAGCAAATCAGACATCTAAACAAATAAACAAAATATTGCTTAGAAAACCAACAAATATGTCAGACATATTAGTCGACTGGATAATTTCAACGAAAGAAAAGGAACAATACTCAAACACTGATGTTAAGCTTTTCTCAATATTTTTTATTTATGTTTTCCTGTTAATATTATTTTTATGATATCGCCTTGAATTTTCCGCCAATAATTTTATTCAAAGTTCGTATTCCATTTCCTGTAAACGATTATTCTCTACAAACAGTTTCGTCTTCCTTCTTTCACTCAACTGTCACTGACTGGAATAATCTTCCAGAATCAGTCATTAGTTCTTCCTTTTTATTGTCATTTAAAATAACTTTATCTCAACATCTTTACAATAGAACATAGCCATAGGTAATGTTAAAAACAAACCCAGTACTGTTACTTTTATTTTGTTTTTATCCTTTCTTTTCTCTCTCTCTGCTTCATACACTCGTTTTACTTTTTATTTTTCTATTTATCGTTTCTTTTTGTTGTTGTTTGGGTCGAGTCACTGTTATCATAGGTCGGGGACCTTTGATGATTCTCACTTTTCGTGAATCAATAATCACTCACTCAACTTCAACGAGAGTTAGTGTTGTATGAACACTAACTATCGTTGAAGTTGAGTAGATATTCATTTAAGAAGTTTTATCCTCCTCTTTCACTACGAAATCAAATACAGTTCATGTCATCCTTCAGACTCTAATGGAACTTTCGTCCATTTTTTGAAATGTGAGAAAGGATAAAGACTAAATATTAAAAATCCTCAGAAGTTCTGCCGTATAAAGTACAACTACTTTTGATCATTTCTTCCCAAATTTAAAGAGGCGAATTGCACAGAATAAAATTTTTACATAGATGGAATTGGAAATCTGATTTGAAACCGACATTGAAAAGATAAGGATATACAGAATAAAAAAACTTGCAAAACTCCTCCGGGCTTATCGCCTTCTGCAATCTGAACTTTTTATTTGTAGCTTGTGTCGGACGTTTCAATACTACGAACTTCAGATTAAAAAACAAAAAAAAAGGACTTTATAGTCTTGTCCAAAGTGACCGATCCTTCGATAACTTCCCCAATTTAAAATTGGTTGTAACTTTTCATTGCTATTCTGGTTGTAGGTGGGTAATACTAAAACGCTGAATTTTTTTACTGAATGCTGAATTGCTGAACGACGCTGATTGGCTGACTTCAAAACATGGATTTCTGCTGATAAATTCAGGATTATGATCGATACTGTGACATTTTT